ACTTGGTAGTACAACGTTAGTACGCAGAGTAGCTGGGGAATGGGAAGGAGGAGAACTGGCGAGGGGGTAGTAGCTGCGAACTGTCACCGTAGTATATAACTGTAGTGCGCGGAGTAGCTGGGGAGCGGTGGGGGGTTTGGGAGGCGGCATCACACACAGACACCCACACACTCCCTCAATTTCCACGAACGCACACATACGCAGACTCATTTCCACACGGACATAGACACACGCACAGAAACCCACACACTACCTCAACTCACTCGACTCCGTTTAGTTTCGTATTTCGTTTCGCGTTTCGTTTCGCGTTTCGTTTCGTTTCGTTTCGCCGAATCAACTCCACTCCACCTATGTCGATGACCTAGATCATCGAACATCATGATGGGCACCTTTTATCTCTCCAATTTGGGCACGCTCTCCGCAGCCGAGAATCTCCATGACCCGTTCACGTCATGCACATGTTTCACATGTTCATGCCGTGTGGACATCTAGTTGAAGCCACTAAGCTACTAGCTACTAGCAGGAAACCTACGTAACACTTCACACCGCACACTTACCGGATAACTCGCACTCTGACTTCCTACGTGATGAAAAATGCTTTCGGGCCACTCGTCGTCTAGTTTTTGTTGGTTATGGCTGTCAAGGACAGTGCTGACTCTGGACTTTGGTATTTGCATCAGGATTTAGCGGACCCACCCCTGTCGTGTGATTTTGCTTGTTTGCGGCGGCTTAATTTCTAGCACCGGCTTCAAACACTTATGTTTTTTTAACTTAACTTTCCTCATACACCCGAATTTGTGAAATTCAGCAACCGACCTCCAGACGTCGTCCCACTTGTACAGGGTGGCCCATCTGGCATGGCTTTGGGATGCCTTGGCTTTGCAGCATTTTCAGCAGTAGTTGCTCCCAGTCCCAACCAATGAGCAACAGGACCAAGTTTCTGCCAGAGAAAAGATCTTGATATGTTGGCAACTCAGGTCATAGAGAGCGTCATGGACCACTGAAGTGCATCCTTCAACGAAGCTATGCTCGTTCAACGAATTTGTAGAAAAACTTTGCAAACGGATTTGTGCAAAAGGTTGTGTTGTGGTAGCTTCTACTGTATATGGCTGAAGCTTGAAAGTGCAATGTCTGATATTGTGGTTTCAAGGTTCGTGTGACCTTTGTTGTAAATTTAACTTGGATTCACCTGGCTCGAGAAGCAAGAACCCATACATATCATACAGCTTGTCAGACAGCACCACAAGACAACTGGTGACTTCACTGCACTGATAGACCTCACTTCAGAGCTCACTTTGGGATGAGATGATGAGGTGGTTCTCCTGAGACTGGTATCTCAAAGTCTATGTCTATACTCACGAGCAATGGTTTGTGTAGCTGCTTTAAATGGTTTTCGCTTATCCGTTACACTGTACTGCCATATGCCCACCCACAACATATGAGCAGCGCACATGCATTTCTTAGGTGTCCAAAGATGCCAAGGCTTGTTTGCTCAGGGGATGTGTGAAGCAGGATGAAGCGGACTCATTCCAGCGATGTGGGGCAGAGGAGTGGATGAAGACATTTAAGAAACAGCGTTATGACTCCTCGTGCCCATGTGTTGCTTCTTGTTGCGTGTGACTTGTGATTTCGAGTAAGTGATTTCTTGGAAGGAGCTTCAAGTACCCTGGAATCTGTGTGGAACCTGCCAGCCTTTTGCACGGAGAGCCTAACCGTGTCTCTACTACACGTTTCACTCCGCTCACGTGGCTCCCAAAGTCCCTGTTTTTGCAGTTCCAGCGCGCTGCAAACATCTACTTTCTGTTCATAGCAGTGATTGTATGCATGCCATTTTCACCGAAGAGGTGGCAAAGCAAAGTCTTTCCATATATTCTGGTGTTGGCTTGGACTGCTCTGAAAGATCTCTATGAAGACTCACGGAGGAAGATGGATGACCACGTGGAAAATTCGCGGATGTGTTGGCGCTTCAGCATGGAGCATGGATTCGAGCAAATAGCATGGCGCCGAGTAAAACCAGGTGACTTTGTATGCACTATGTGCGACGAAGCTTTCCCAGCCGATCTGCTTGTAGTCTGTGCTGCTGGTGGTTACTCTGCTTTTATATCCACCGTGAATTTGGACGGCGAGACAAACCTTAAACTTCGGAGGCCTCCAAACCTCTTCTGTTCGTTGGAGGTAGACTTGTCAAGCACAGCTAGACCCACCGTCCCACCAACTGTGGCTTCTCATGTTGTGTCCCAAGCTTGCAGACAGCAACTTCATATCCATTTGGCATCACCATGTGCAGACCTTACCGAATTCAATGCATCTTTGTCCCTTGATGCACCAGATGTGCAGTCAGATGTGCAGGGCAGCCATTCAGCAAGTTGCGATAGCTTTGTGCCCCGTGGTTGCGTTTTACGCAACACGGACTGGTTGCTGTCCATAGTTGCCTATGCAGGAAAGGACACCAAGCAGTGCTTAAATTCGGCTCAGGTTTCTGGAAAAGTTTCCAACATGCAGAGTCTCTTGAACCGATGTGTCTATGGGCTTTTAACTGGACTCTTCTTCACATGTTGCTACATGGCAACCGCTGCCAAGATCATAGATTCCAACACTGAATGGCCAATTCGCTTCCTTGCTTATGCCATCACATTATATCATGTCGTGCCGATTTCGCTGTATGTGGCCTTCGAAGTTCTTAAGCTGATGCTTGGGCGGTTCATCGATAAAGACCCACAATTGTTTGGAGCGGCAGCTCGAACAGCTGATTTGGTCGAAGAGCTGGGCCAGATCGACTTCATTTTCTCAGACAAGACAGGAACACTAACGTCGAATGACATGCGCTTTGCAAGATGTGCAGTGGGGGACAAAGTCTTTGATTCTTTTCTTCAGGACTCTTTGGGTGGACCTGTGCCTGGTGTCGAGCAAGTTACCAGTATTTTCAATGAAGGCCCAACTGGATCTGGTGAATTGGGAAGCAAATTGCGTTGGTTCTTCACGTGCCTGGCCGTTTGTAACACAGTGGAAGTAAACGAGAAAACGCAATATTCTGGACCTTCCCCAGATGAGGTTGCCTTGGTCCAGGGAGCACATTTGGTTGGCATATCTTTGAAAGAGCGTGTCAAAGCTTCAAAACTGAAGAAAGAAGAACATGTGGTTGTGTCGACTCCCGAAGTAGAGGATCGTGTCTTCAGCATCCTTCACACCATTGAGTTCTCTGCTGATCGAAAGCGCATGTCCGTCATATGTAGACATGAAGGGGCGATTTATTGCATCACCAAAGGTGCTGATAGCATCATGAGCCCGCTGTTGATTGCAGAGCTTGGCCAGGAGGAGGAGGAGCAACTGAGACGCTTCTCCCAAATGGGCCTTCGAACACTTGTTGTGGCCTCAAAGCAAGTGGATCCATCCACTTTTGCTTCTTGGGAAGCCGACTGGTTGAGTGCGAAGACATTGCTTGAAGGTCGCACTGAGAAACTTGCAGAATGTGGGGCTACCATTGAGAAGGACTTGCAGCTGAGTGGCATCTCAGCTGTTGAGGATCGGCTTCAAGAAGGTGTGCCTGATGCCATTGCTGACTTAAAGCAAGCAGGCATCCGATTCTGGGTGTTAACAGGCGACAAAACTGAAACTGCCGTGGACATCGCCCACTCTTGCAATCTTTTCTCAAAGGATACGGGGCTTGCGTTTCTAACAGGTGCTACTGATGCACTGGGAGCTCAGACCTGCCTTGCCCTTGCGCAGAAACATTTAGAGCATGGGAAATGCGGCAGTATTGACAAACATGTTGACAATGGTTTGGTTATTGATGGTCAGACATTACAGTGGATTTTGGAAGGGCATGCAGAAGATGAACTTTACAAGCTAGGCATGCTGAGTATCGGATGCGTTTGCTCACGACTCTCACCAGCTCAAAAGCGGAGACTGGTGGATGTTGTCCGTAAGCATAGCAACTCCATCACTTTGGCCATCGGTGATGGGGCCAACGATGTGCCTATGATTCTTGGAGCTCATGTGGGGATTGGTCTTCGTGGAAAGGAGGGTTCTCAAGCGGTTCAAGCAAGCGACATTGCAATTTCGCAGCGCCCTGGTTCAGCTCAGCCAGGTGTATCCCAAGCAAACGAAAAAAACATGACATGGCATTCCTTCCATCATTCCTTCCAATCTTTACCTTATAACGTTCTATAACGTAAAAAGTTGGTTTGGATATGTTTGGATCTTTTCCCGAATGCGTAGCGAAGGGTTCTCGTTTAACTCTTGGGGGTCTGGGGGTGGAGCCTTGTTCGCGACCCGTTGTTTCTATGTTCGCAACCGTCCGCAACCGTCCGCAACCGTTCGCAACCGTCCGCGGTAGAGCGCTAAGGCGCTGCCATTGGGGGGAAGCTTTTGCAAGTGACTATCCATGGATGTGTAACGTGTGAGTTTGCGCCGCTATTCCATTGTGATTTGCGTGAAAAGGACATGTCGCGCAAGAAACGTGATGCATTTCGCTGCACAGGCGCAGCGTTTTGTGAGATCCGCAGTTTGCTACGCAGTTCCATTGGGATTAGCGTTTGGAGAGTCGTGTTTTTGGGGTGTTGGATGTGGCCGTGCCATTGGGATTTGCGTTTCAGGGTGTGGCATCGAAGGTCTGTTTTCGTGACAAGTCTCAGCTGAAATGCCGATTTTGGTGGATGGGAGTGTGCTCAGAACGGGTCGAAATCATTCCAAACGTGTGGTGTGGTGCAAATTTTGTTGAAGCTCACATGAGATGATATTGTCACTTTTTGTGGCAGGCGCAGTACTTTGTGCGGCTTTTGAGGTGTGGAAGTGCGATTCTCGTGGCAGGCGCAGGGAATCGTGAGGTTGCGAGGTGTGGAGGTGTGACGGAGGTGACATTTCGTGGCAGGCGCAGTACTTTGTGCGCCTTAGACGTGTGGACGCGGAAAGGTTCGTGGCAGGCGCAGGGAATCGGGAGGTTGTGAGTTGTGGTAGAGGTGAATGTCGCTGTCACATTGGGATTGGCGTGTGAGCGGTTGTCGTTTGGAGGAGCTGGAATCGCGAAACTGCTTGGCAGGGCTGCGTGATGTGTGTGCTCCGACGGGTGTTTCCGCTGGACTTTTGGAGGAAGTCTCGTGCGAAACGTTCGTTTTTCAGACTTTGATATGTGAGTTTTTGAGGAAGTCTCGTACGAAACGCTCGTTTTGGGGACTTGACATGTGACTTTTGGAGGAAGTCTCGTACGAAACGCTCGTTTTGGAGACTTGACGTGTGACTTTTGGAGGAAGTCTCGTACGAAGCGCTCGTTTTTGGGACTTGACGCGTGACTTTTGGAGGAAGTCTCGTACGAAACGCTCGTCTTGCATCCTCGCAGCGTGACTTTTGGAGGAACTCTCGAACGAAGAGTGTGCCCTACAGGAGTGTCCCACAAGAGTGTCCTACAAGAGTGTCCCACAAGAGTGTCCCACAAGAGTATCCCACAAGAGTCTCCTACAAGAGTGCCCCACAACAGTGTCCCACAAGAGTGTCCCGTATGAGTGTCCCACAAGAGTGTCCCGCATGTCCCACAAGAGTGTCCTACAAGAGTGTCCCACAAGAGTGTCCCGTATGAGTGTCCCACAAGAGTGTCCCACAAGAGTGTCCCACAAGTGTGT